AACCTGAAGTAAAGACAACCTGCTGCAGGACTCAGTCCTCAGAACCTGAAGTAAAGACCTGTTCTTTAGGGGTCAGGACCTTTTGCGGCATTTTTTTAGATTTAATGTAATTAAATTACTTGACGATTATATGTTTTAACTTGAATGCAAGAAAGTTGCAATAAAAATCGCATGACTTCAGAGAAGAGTAGAAACACAACCCACATGTTATCATCTCACATCAGTATCTTTCTTCTGCTTCACCTTATCAAACGTAAGTCTCCTATAAGTCATTGTCCGTCTTTTGGTTGTAAAAATCAATTTAGAAAAACCATGCAGTCATAAATGAGTGTGCTGCGGTGCGATGTGAAGAGGCTCTGTGGTTTCTGTGGTTTCTGTGGCCATCTAGTGGGCCTCTCAAACACTTCCCACATGGAACCTGACTAAGAGATGGAAACAAATGGGAAAGTTCCTTTTTTTTAAACCAGGTTTTACCAACATTCTTATGGGCAAAAGCATTGAGTTATTTACAATAAATAAAACACTAAATGCACATTTTTTACAACTTTATGACAAAAACTGTTTGAAATTAATCCAAAAGATCAAAATCTTTTGCCAAAAACAAAAGACAATAACTGAAGTGGTGATTAGTGGAAATACAGAAATGACAAAAACACTTTTTCTTCCTGGAATTGATTGTGTGTGTTTGCTTTATTGTTGCATGCTGTGGCTGTGTGCATGTGTGTGTGTGTGCAGGGCCTGAGCAGTGTGTGTATACGAGAGTGAATTGTTGTTTTTCTATGGTGAGCTGCTTTTTGTCACTTATCAACTGAGTTCATGTGGTTTTTCTGTGACTTCTCCCTGCAGCCTCGAGTCGTCTGTAGCTTCTCACACATGTCGACCAGCGTCTGTGGTTTTGTGGCCCGGATGGGTGGGTGCATTTTTCTTTTTCCTGAGGAAGGCCACGTATTGAAGTTTGCGGCTCAGCGCTAAAGATGAAGGAAACAAACTTGACATAAAATGGGGATTTTTTTTTCTGTACTTCAGTACAATGCAACAGAGTTTAATAAATTTAAAAGTTGAAATTAAATTTTTTGACAGAAGTGCTCTCAGTAAATTCATTTATCATAAAAGAAGTTTGTCTGACAGCCCACAAAGAAATTACTACAAAAAGTGAGTTGCTGATGGTAACAGTCAAAAAGTTCTAAACATTCAACAAAAGACAAAATTCTAAATCCATTTGTTTTACAGACCAACGGTGTGATTTGAAAAATGAACAAAAAACATTTCAGATATTTTAACTTTTAGCTTGTTAACATGTTTTTGAATGTAGGAATCAGATTTCAAACACGGTCAGTAAGTCAATATATTTACAGATAAATAATCAGCAATCATTTCATTAAGTCTTCTATTATTTATGAAATCATTGATAATAAAATGCCAAGCATTTAATTAAGTTGTATTTTTCATTGTTAGTTATTATATAAATCTGTAGCATATTGTGACGTGTCAAAATTGAAAAAATATGTGCAAGTTTAATTTGCGTCACAGCTCTAAAATAAATGGTGAGAGGAAATTACATAATTTGTGAATAAAGAAACCAGATCAAGACGAGTCTCTGTGCAAGTTGCAGTTTTATTTGACAGAATATTTACAGAGAAAGAAAGTAAAAGTGACTCTTTACACATCTCTGTTGTTTGATTTTCTTTTCTCACCCTGGTCGTAAAGTACTCGCATGTCACCGGTGTTGCAGAAAAGTGAGATTTCATCAGTGCTGAGGTCCCTTCGTTGAGGCTTCATGTTACCAGGAGATCAAAGCAGCTGCACAACAATGAAAGAGAATCAGATCTTTTTTAAACGTCTCTGTTGTAACTCGCCGTTTGTCTCCTGAGTAAATCTGAGGGAAAATTAAGAGTGATGAAATAATATTGAATTTAAACCTAAAGTCTTTGTTTTCATCTGCTGCTTAAACCAATGAGTCAGTTTGCTGTTAGGACACAAGAAGAAAAACAAACAAATGTTTTTGCCTTTTCTATTTTGGTGACAATCCTTGTCCAATCCAATCTTCTGCAGTTCGCGTAAACATCTCTGTGTATGAGCTCATACAGAGGCGTGATCGCTCTGCATTGCTTCTGCCGGCCAACATTAACCACAACGCACCTCTCCACACGCTAACATGAGCAAGAAACCCACCAAGCATGCTTCTTGCGCTTCAAAATACAGGAAATGAGTTGTTGTCTTTGGCCATGAGCCAGTTCAGGTCCTCTGATTGGGGGGGTTACTTGGTTTGTGAAATATTTAACCGCTGCACATTTCCTCTATGGACAAAAAAGTAATTCTCAAACACGTGGTTGTAGCTCTTGTCCCTTTAACAGGAGCTTCAGTGTTTTACTGCAGACTTTTAACTTTTACATTCACAAAAAAAGCTTAGAGGGAAGAAACACGTGTATCATGTGTATCCTTTAATTTTTCTTTATAACGACTGATACTCTTTTGAATCCAGTTTATTTGTGGTCGTAGTGTTGGCCCAGATCATGTGATGTGACAAAGCGCTCACTGCCACACTGTCGTCCCTCAGCTTAAAAGGTGACTACAGTTGGATATTAGTGGCTAAAGGACATAACGCTACTACACTGTGAGTAAGAGAGGAAAGGTTTAGGGTAGTAATATATTTAGTATAACTTAATATTTTGTGTGTTCGTGGAGAGGATTATATATATATTGATTTACAGACACTCCAATTTGAAGTTGTTGGATAAAAGAGTACATTAGTCTTACACACTTTCAAAATATCTGTCTGTACACAGCTTTAAATATTTTTTACATAGTGATATAGGAACATACATACAGTATAGAATAACTGGGAGTCATTAAAGCCCTCTTGGATTTAATGGTCAAGTATCTCCTTAAAGTTTCTATTGTTTACCTCAGTCTGTAGTTTTTAAAAGGATAATTCCAGTTTATCTCTTTCTGACAGGGAAAGAAACAGAAAAAAGTTGAACCAGAATCCTGAGGATGGTTGATGATGTAGGAAGTGTAAGGGTAAAAAAATCGATTACATGTCGTCATTTATTTGTGAGTAACATTTATTTTTGAGAGTTCTTTGAACCTCAACATTTTTCTCGAGAAATTCTGTGCAGTTTCCTCCAGGAAATAGTTTTGCAGACGTGCTAAGTGCTGCCTCGAGTCTTATGATGCAAACAACAGACCAAACTCAAAAGTCCAAATACACATAGGATATACTGGATTCATTCCTGGATAGTGGGGGGAAATGGAGACATGTCCTCCAACTTTATTTACAGTCTATGGCCGCACCTTTCACATTTACTTTCTCAGTGGGAGAATAAACCGCTCCAGAATCGACCAAAGGTTTACAAACAGTTACGACTCAGGAGTGGTATGAAGGTATTGTCCCTAAGCAAATGAGCTAGCTAAGTTTGACAACTATTTATGAAAAAATAAATGAAATGCCAGGGAGGAGTAAACAGAGCAGTGTGAAGAAAATGGAGAGAAGCTGTTGTGACTGACTAGCACTAGCCCAGCTGGCTAGCAGGTTAGCGGTTAGCTTGACAGTAAGAGCAAATCACCAATTCAAGATGTTGCTGCGTTGCCGGATCCGAGCAATCAACAACAAAAGCAAAATAATATTTCTTGAGTGATTCAGTTTCCGAACCCACTAAAACAAGGTGATAACAAACTGGAATTATCCTTTGATCTTCACAGGAAAACCTTCATCCGAAAGTTAAAGCCTGAAACAGACCTGGTCGGGATTCAGTGTCTTTCAGAAAACTTCAGCGGGGTTGAAGCTGACTGATGCAAAGATTTGAAACATGTCATGCATCATCCTGCTTTGTTGTAATCTAATCAAGTCACACCTCTTAATCATCAAACCAGTGTAAAGGATGCATGGGTGAGTGTGTGGGGACATCCCCTAAATTAGAAACTGCACATGTTACTGAAAACCTCAGATAAGCTGACATCAGTGTAACTTTGAGTTGTTGCTTTTTTCAAAAAGAAGTTCAAGTTTCACCAGCAGATCTGGAGACAAGATTCCACTCGTGATAAAAAAAATCAACCCCACGTATCAAAAAGAGGAGCATTGTCTTTGCGTGAACCCTGCAGAGATAACGCTGCTGATTGGAGGTGACGGTCTGGTATCAGATCTCCGAGATAGAAATGCAGTTCACTAAAAAGTTCAGAAGTTCCGAAGTCTTGATTTGATCTTTTCTTTTTTTTTGGTGGGTGGTCTGGGCGGTCGTGACATCAAACTGTTTTTGAAGTTCAGATCTTTAGGAAGACCGGAGGAGAATCCCAGTTTTAAAGTCTTTATACAGAGACGTATCCCGTGCAGTGGGGAGTTTACCTTCGAATCCTCTAGTTACTGTACATCAGTGTGCAAGCACATGGGAGCAACGTCACCAACATGAGACATGTGGTGCATCAACATTTCCAAAAATATATCCTCATGTTTTTTTGCCTTACAGATAAACAATATATAAAGAGTAAATTATACATGGAAAATATACATGTATGGGGACTGAAAATGTGTACATTTTATAGGCTATGCTAACTTAAAGTGCTAAGATACGTAGATTTTTGACCAGGCTGCAAGCATTAAGGTAAATTCTGTCAAAAATTTCCCTCAGCTCGTTGAGGTGACGTGTCAGCATTGGTGCCCCGCCCTGCAGGGCATCATCAAACCTCGATGAGGGTAAAACCACCTTCCGGCTGATCCGACCGTACGCTCACATTCATATTCTCCAGTTTGTCAGGTGATAAAGTGGGAAACTGGAATGTTTTATACTTTCTTAACTGCCACAGAAACATATACTTCTGAATCGGTATCAAACTCGTGATCAACGGACAATCAGTCAGTCTTTACTTAGAGCTGAACCTCTCTGACTCATCAACGCCCCATAAGTACCTGAATATCCGTCAATAAACCAGCGTCCACCAGATTAGGCTGCTCGGCACAAAGTCCTCTGCAAAATATACTTTAGCATGTGAGTGAGATAGAAAATGCCGGTGAACAGTATTTAAAGCTAAAGGTAACAATAGTCTGTAAAATAAAAAAGTCGCCTCAGATCTCCCTGATCGTTTTCTCTCGAACACTGAAACTAACTCTTTGACATGCAGAGCTCCTGAACTGTGATGCAGAAAAACTACACAATACCTGAAACTGTGAAAACCACAGGACGAGACTCAAAACAGAAAAGCAGCACTCGGAGCCGGTGATTTTACAGGCAGAGCTTTCTCGAGGGCAATCGGTAGAGGGCTCTGCTTGTTGAAAAAAATCCAAGACGGACCCGTGTTTAAGTACGTTCCCAGATCAAATAAAAATGGACCCCACCTCCAGATGGCCGCACACAGCTGATTCTAAATGGATCGCCCGAGGAGGAGTTTCCATTTTTTGTCCACGTCTGCTGATCTCTTACATAATCTTTAAGTGGAGAGCGCAGATGTGTGTGTGTGTGAGTGTGTGTGTGTGTGTGTGTGTGTGTGTGTGTGTGTGTGTGTGTAAGATGGTTGCCATGGCAATCAGATCTTGCTGTTCTCCAGGTGGGAGTCGATGTGCTTGATGAGGGCATCGTCAGGGTAACCGATAGGGAATATCAGCTGGCAGAGAGGGCAGCTCCGCATGTCACTCTCCTCGGTCTCCATCCAGAGCTACACACACACACAGACACACACACACACACACACGATTAGACGGCAGGATAAACCTCAGGAGTCATTTCACCGGATTGTACTCGTCACTCTGTGGGAGGCAATACAAATTACATCACTACTTGTTGAGAGGTCACTTCAGAATTACACAACATGAAACAGAATGACTGGTAGTACATCCAGGTGGAAACGCTCATCCATGTCCTGATTCACGGTTTTGATCCGGTTAAATTTAGAGGCGCTCGGAGAGAAATCGTTACCTCCAACAAGGAGATTATGTGTTCGCCCCTGTCCAGCAGGATTATGCAAGAACCTCTGAATGGATTTGTCCGAAACTGAGTAGAAGGACGAGACACGGGCCGAGAAAGAACTCTTGGCAATGATCTGGACAAAGGGACGGATCCAGGACTTTATTTTATTCCTTTTTTAAATCACTTCTGTTGATTTCTCTGAGAAGAATTTATGGGCAGGCAAGGTACCCATATCTCACACTCATTTCGTAACCTCTGTGGTTTATGAAATAGACAAAAAGGAACGAATAACAATGTGGTATAACAACGACTCCGCACGCTCAAGTTGTTTATCAGTATCGAGGTTTAGAGACCAAAAGACTTGATTTGCAGGTTGGTCTAACGGAGACAGTTATTCATGACAACTTTTCTGTTTCCATGCAAACTGACAGAAAACAGTTTGTCATTTATCTGGTAGATGACCGAGCTGCAGATCTCTCAGGATTCGTGTCGGTGGAGTTTAGTGTGTGTGACCTCACTCCTCCACCTGTGGACTCGGTGGCTCTGTAATGACTCAATGCTACTTTTGTCCTTTGCAGTCGTTAGAATTCCTTCAAGGTCTCAAGGCATTGAACGTAAACATATGTTTTTATTTGCTGATATGACTCATGCTATCATTTTTCTTGTGAGGATCGCGCTTAGACCGGAGAAGGAGGAGCGCCGGTGGCCCAGCTCTGTCCAGAAGTACGCCCACCATCACCCCTGAAGCGGCTGTTTTTACATGAAGTGTTTTTAACTGAACAGAAACTGAAATATATAAAATCGTAATTTGTAGTTAGAGCAATTTTTTCTATCTACAGTACACTCAGTGCTGGAGAGGCACAATGATACCAAACCTGGCAACCTCACTGTGAACATGCTGTTCATGCTAGTTTTAGAGTTTTAAATATTTTTTTCAACTTTGAACAGGAACTAGAATAACTGCTTCCCTTTTATGCTAAGCTAGATTAAACTCACTTCTTCACTCGTGCCTAATGCACAGTCATATCATCTTTATCAAACTTCTCATCTTGCTCTCGGAAATCAAGCAAATAAGTGTATTTCACAAAATGCTGAATGTTTCTTGTAAAGGAACTTGGAACTAGGAGGAGTCATGGTGAAGACAGATGTTTTCAGATGATTGTGACACGCAGTGTGAAAAAGATGAACTCAGTGGAAAGAGCCGTTGCCTTTCTGCAAACCAGCTCTGCAGTTGTGAAAAAAGTGGCACTAGACACACGAGAGAAGTTTCACTGCTGCAGCTTCATGGCATCACATTCACTTCACGTAGCTGCTTGTACAGTGTGTTAATAACGTTATGCTTGAACTCACATTGATGGAAGGCCAGGACTGCGCATGCTCTGCTGACATGTACCCCGACTGAGGGTGGCAGCTGAGGGTGTTAGGCCTCTGAGGGATGGGGAAGGCCGAGCAGGACGCCGGGCCCCTCATGGCGCCGCTGGGCACCGCAGCAGAGAGCACCCCCAGTGTCCGTGGTGGGCTGATGGGATGTGGGCAGGTCCACTCCTCCTCGTCCTCAGAGGACTGTGTGGGCTGAGGGGCCGGCGTGGAAGGAGGAGGGGGTTCAAAATGAAGGTGGGCCACCTCAGACAGTGGGAATGGCATCTCTCTGGAGTGGCGCATGGAGCTCTCCCCGAGGCCCCCGTCTCCTCCGGCGCCACCTTGATGGGGGGACGAGGACCCCCTGTGCTGCAGTCCTCCGTGAGGAGAGCCCACGTGTTGGGGCTTTTGTTTTGGGTAATCGACGTAAGGCCGGGGCTTAGGCAGGGTGGAGACGGGGTCCAGAGTGAAGCGGGGCGGGCACTGGTAAGCCGAGGGGTCTGCGACCTCGGAGTAACTTCGTCGGCCCTGGAAGCTGGCCCTCAGGTGCTGGCTGGGTGGCCGGCAGGAGTAAGAGGCCGGCCCGTTGTTCACGTCCAGCAGGGGCGAGCGGCGGTGCATGTCCGGTGAGAGGCGCTGCAGTACTGGGGAGCGTCTCTGTTGGATTGGGGAGTGGTGCGACGGAGGCGGGACCGGAGAATGCCGCTGTGAGATGGGCGAGTGGCGCTGAGATACTGGCGAGTGGCGCTGGTGGTGGATGGGAGAGTGGCGCTGAACTGCGACACAGAGAATAAAGGAAAACATGTGAGAAACAGTTTTTAGAAAAGGTTTAAGGACTTTTATGGACTTTTGGTCTGAGTCCCTTGATCATGACATATTTTCAAAGTGTAGCCTGCTCTTGCAAAAGTTTCCACGATTACCAACCCGAGCTTTAAACTGGTTAATTCTCATTAAGGGAGTTGTTTATGATATTGAGTCTGGTTCAGGGAAAGTCGTGGGTCAAACTTCACCGAGGTTGAATTCCACAGGAAGCTGTGCTGCGGCACAGGAAGCAGATCATTTAGTCGTGCTGACTTGAAGTGAACAGGAGGTGAAACATTTGTGTGCGTGTGACCAGCCCCGTACACGTGGAGCGATTAAAAAAAACATCCAGGACATTTTTGAACCAAAGTCAGTTTCATAAATCTGTCTGTCGACATTTACAGGAAGAGCAGGAGAAAATGTTTTTTATGTTTGTTTATTATGATGCTAATACGTCATCCTCGCGATCACTGAAAATAAAAATCACACATCACTACGCAAACAAACACAAAATGCACTTTAGGTTCCTCTGAATAAAAAGATTTTTATCTGCACAAGTGCAATGGCAGCATTTCCCATAATTACGAGATGTGTTGATGAGTCAGTAGCCGCCTCAGCTTCGCATGTCGAAGAGGAAACATCGTATATGGCCGCTTGGTTGAGGTGTTAACAGGGAGGGGGGTGTTTGTACTCTGAAGTCTTCTGCGCCTCCGCACAACAAGGAAACACTGATTGTTCAACAATTTACAAAGAGTATTTGTTTCTTTGTTAGATATCACCAGGAGACAATCATTTCACTGACACAATCCTGGAGTTACCGAGGCACAAGTGCACTTTAAGTCACATTTCGTAGATTAATGTGAAACAACTCGACCTCGGAGAGAAGTCGAGTGGACTTCTGGGATTTCTGTGTGTGTTTGCTGGAGTCTGCTGTGTGGAAATATGTTATTCAGTTTTTAAATGCAGTTATCGTGCGGTGCTCCTCTGGTTTGTGGTGGGCCGTAGCTGCACGGTTGTGAGACATAAGCTTGTCTGTGTGCAGGAAGAGAAAAGGTGTTGCTACTGTACAGTTTGTAAGTCGTATTATCCAACACGTCAGTGTCGGCTGCTGCTGCTGCTTCGACTTTCAACCTGAAGTGAGAAAACTACAACAAATCACGACTGTTACTCCGTATCGTGTCATGACAGACAATAGTTTGATTTAAACTACATCTGATTTTCACAAAGCATAAGCTAAATATTATTTTTGTTAAATTTACCAAAAAGTTACTACCAACAAGAATTTTAGTGATAGAATGTCATTCTTTGACTTACTTTACTTGAGTATTGACAATTAAACTCAATATTTTTATTCCAATGTTTTTAGATACATGTACTTTAAGATTCAGATTAAGATTCAGATTCCTATTTTTGGTCCCACAAACATGCAAACATGGGGAAATTTGACCTCTGTATTTAACCCATC